TTCAGAGTCCACTAGGAGCCACAAAGAAAAGAATAATTATTTACAGTGTTAATGGAAGGAAAAGGAGGTGGGGCAAATGGGAGCAGAATTAAACCTGGTAGAGTAGGGCCCTGCCTGTAATTCCCGGGCAAAGGGAAAGTTCTTGTAACACCCGTGATGGCTGGAGACTTCCCACCTTTGAGATGAATTAGTCACTGGTGGGGCCCAGCTGCTGGCAATGCAATAGCTCCCTTGCAACGATCCTCAAAAGAAAGTCAGCTAGGGTCCCAAGAGCCTGTGGCTTAAACATACTTTATTTTCTTGGGCTCCAAAATCACTGCAGATGGTGACTGCAGCCATGAAATTGAAAGACGCTTGCTCCTTGGAAGAAAAACTATGACCAACCTAGACAGCATATTAAAAAGCAGAGACATTACTTTGCCAACAAAGGTCTGTCTAATCAAGGCTATGGTTTTTCCAGTAGTCATGTATAGATGTGAGAATTGGACTATAAGGAAACCTGAGTGCCGAAGAACTGATGCTTTTGAACTGTGGTGTTGGAGAAGACTCTTGAGAGTCATTTGGACAGCAAGGAGATCCAACCAGTCCGTCCTAAAGGAAATCAGTCCTGAATATTCATTGGAAGGACTGATGCTGAAGCTGAAGGAAGCTCCAATACTTTGGCCACCTGATGTGAAGAACTGACTCATTGGAAAAGACCCTGGGGCTGGGAAAGACTGAAGGCAGGAGGAGAAGGGGATGACAGAGGATGTGATGGTTGGATGGCATCACTGACGCGACGGGCATGAGTTGGAGCAAGCTTCAGGAGTTGGTGAAGGACAAGGAAGCCTGGCGTGCTGCGCTCCATGGGGCTGCAAAGAGTTGGACATGACTGAGCGACTGAACTGAACTGAACTGATGCATATAAAGTCAGGGGACCTCAGTGAAAGAGCAGCCGTCTAATCTGTAGTCAAATGCTCTGTCACTGAGCTGTAACCCTACAACAGCAACCTGACTTGGAAACATGGAGACATTTTTTAATGTATTCCTTTTTTTTAAGTCTAATTTTTATTACTATTAATTTATTTGTTTTTGGCTGTTCTGGGTCTTCCTTGCTGCACATGGGCTTTCCCCAGTAGTGCCAAGTGGAGGTACTCTCTAGTTGCAACGCGCAGCCTTCTCACTTCAGTGGCTTCTCTTGTTGTGGAGTGCGGGCCCTAGAGCACCGGTTTTAGTAGCTGTGGTGCACGGGCTTAGTTACTCCTCGGCATGTGGGATCTTCCTGGACCAGGGATTGAACCCATGTGCCCTTGCATTGGCAGGCCGATTCCTAACATCTGGACCACCAGGGAGGTCCTGGAAACACTGACTTTTGTTCCGGCCCCAGCACAGAGCCCCACTGGAGGGTGGGCAAAAAGCATGGACAGTCTTGAATCGGGTTCTCTCTCAGCTCACACAGGCTGTGTGACCCCGGGCAAGTGCCTTCACTGCTCTGAACCTGTATCACAGGCTTGGTGTGGAGAGGTGGGCACACCCGGATGCAGATTACACACACAGTGGACGTTGTTCTCCTTCGGGAGGCTCTGCCCAGCTCCCCCTGTGGCTCCTCCAGAGCCGCAGGCCAGAGAAGAGGCCTCCTCCAAGGGTGAGACAAAACCAGGGATTATCCTGAGTCTCTGAAACGCTTTGTTTAGTCCCGTGCTTCCTGATTCTTCCTCATCTTGCCCCGAGCAGGTGGCAAGTTTGGCTGGTAGGAGTGGTGTGTGCATGCTAAGTTTTTTCAGTCGTGTCCAACTCTTTGCGACCCCATGAACGGTAGCCCGCCAAGCTCCTCTGTCCATGGGATTCTGCAGGTAAGAATACTGGAGTGGGTTGCCATGCCTTCCTCCAGGGGATCTTCCAGACCCAGGAATCAAATGGGGGTGGAGAGGCCATAAATAGCCTGAATAGGGGCTGGGGGTGGGGATGGGCAGTCTGTTTTGTCTCACTGTAGCTTCCCATCCAGCCTGGCCCCTGGAGTCCTTTGACCTGGACCCAAGCATAACTTTCTGCCCACCTCGCAGAGGGCACTAGGGCCCGGGTAGGGGAGGGGACGTCTCTCACATGGACCTCAGGGGCTCTAGGAGTATCTCATTGGCATTGCTGCCCAGGCCATGCTGCCGCGCACCCTGGAAACGGGGTCGCCAGCTCTCAGCATGCACCCTGGAAACGGGGTCACTAGTCCTTCCCCCATACACCCACCTTCTACACTTGATCTTAGCCAAAAGGCCGAGAAGCGATACACACACCCACCTTCTAACCGTTCAGAACCTTCTTTTCTTTTTCTACTTCTCTTTTTTTTTTAAGCTTTTTATTTTGTATTGGAGCCCTGCGTGATAGCTCAGTTGGTAAAGAATCTGCCTGCAATGCAGGAGATCCCTGTTCAATTTCTGGGTCAGGAAGATACCCTGGAGAAGGGATAGGCTATCCACTCCAGTATTCTTGGGCTTCCCTGGTGGCTCAGAGGTTAAAGCGTCTGCCCGCAATGCGGGAGACCTGAGTTCGATACCTGAGTTGGGAAGATCCCCTGGAGGAGGAAATGGCAACCCACTCCAGTATTCTTGCCTGGAGAATCCCACGGATGGAGGAGCCTGGTGGGCTACAGTCCACGGGGTTGCAAAGAATCGGACATGACTGAGAGATATATGGGTATATGGGTATGGGTATACCTGATTAACAATGTTGTGACAGTTTCAGGTACATGACAAAGGGACTCAGCCATACATACATGTATCCATTCTCCCGCAGTCAGAACCTGCTTTCTTTCACTTCTGCCCAGGCTGTGTGTGCTTCCTGAAACCATCTCCCTGAGACACCCTGCCTTCTTGTCCTGGCACACAGATGGCACTCTGGAATAATCAAAATCAGCAGGAATATGGATTGAGCGTCTACTCTGAGCTGTTTGGTGCGGAGAGGTGGGAGGGCAGCCAGAGACGGAGGCTGGGGGTGGCAGTATCCACACACTCTGTTCTCCAGGCCTGGGCTCCCTCTTGACACTGAGTATGGTCATTCCTCTGTCACCTTGGAGACTCCACCTTCAAGTCTGTCACTGAGGCATCACCTTCTCCAGAGCCTTGGCTCAGTACTCCTACTGTTTCCTTTTACCTGGAGCTGCCTTACTGGTTTGGATCTCCCCAGGGCGCTCCTAAAGCATGTTTGCATTCTGCCTGGCTCTGTGTCCTGGGGCCTCAGTTGCCCCCACCTGTAAAAAGCAATTCATGGTGAGGTTGTACAGAGGACATGAACCAGGAAACTAACAGCTTGTACTAAAAGGTGAAGAAATGCTACTATTTACAAAAGTAAACTACTACTATTACCAGCAGCATTTGAAAAAAAATATTTATTTGGCTGCACCAGAGATCTTAGTCGTGGCATGGGGGATTTTCAATCTTCATTGTGGCACTTGGGTCCTTTTGTTTTGTTTTCAAGTTTTGTTTTTTTTTTTAAGATGTGATTTATTTATTTAATTTTTTGACTGTGGTGGGTCTTCATTGCTGCACGTGGGCTTTCTCTAGTTGTGGCGAGCAGGGGTTAGTCTTCGTTAAGGTACACGGGCTGCTCACTATGGAGGTGTCTTTGTTGCAGAGCATGGGCTTTAGGCGTGCGGCCTCAGTAGTTGTGGCTTGCAGGTTTTAGAACGCTGGCTCCACAGTGTGGCACCCAGGCTTAGCTTCTCCAAAGCATGTAGGATCTTCCTGGACCAGGGATCCCCTCCCTGCACTGGACCACCAGGGAAGCTCCACGCAGGATCTTTACTTGTGGCATGCAAACTCTTAGTTGCAGCTTGTGGGATCGAGTTCCCTGACCAGGGATTGAACCAGAGCCCCCTACAGACACAGAGTCTTAGCCACTGGACCACCAGCAAGGTCCCTACCAGCAGCATTTTCATCTCTCTGCATCCTTAACACTGAGTACAGGGCTGAAGATAGAATCAGGGCCAAATATGTGCTTGGTGGATGGATGCTGGATAAATGGAGAGGTTAAATGTGTTTCCAAAACATGAAAAAAAATTTGAGGGTGTTCCACAGGAGTCTGGGATGGGGATGGGAGGCCAGGAAGAACCTACAAAAGTGAACCTTTGCGATATACCTGTGCATGCATGGCTACCTGCTAAGTCACTTCAGATGTGTCCAACTCTTTGCAACCCTATGAACTGTAGCCCACCAGGCTCCTCTGTCCACTGGATTCTTCAGGCAAGAATACTGGAGTGGGATCCTCCTCCAAGGGCTCTTCCCAACCCAGGGATCAAACTGAGGGTCTTGCTTCTTCTGCCTTGGCAGGCAAGTTCTTTACCACTAGCACCACCTGGGAAGCCTGCACTATATACCTATGATACAGCAATACATCAACAAGCCAGTCATTGCTTCAACAGCACACAGTGAACACGAGATGGTCAGTTCAGGGGCTCCGACAGTCTCCTGGATACCTGGAAGGAGAAGAGCTTACTCTAGCCCTTCCTCAATCCTAGACGGGAAACCCCCAGAGGGCAGGGTGTCTCTGGAGGAAGGGCCACCCCGCCCAGAGCCCCATATAAACAGCTCAGAGAACTCAGTTTTGCAGGAGTAGGTGGAGAGAGGAGCTGGGGAGGGTGTTCTGGGTCTTGCCCTGTGGATGCTGGCTGTGGGGCTTCCCAGACACCCTCCCCTCTCTAGCTCCTCTGGCTGCAGCCCTTCACAGCCTCCATGCACAGAAAGAGTTAACTCTGGGCTTAACTTCTTGAAAGAACCTGAAACCTTTTTATTCCCTGATCTTGCCCTCCTCCCTTTCTTTGCAAAGTCTTCCTGATCTTTATACTTCCTGCAGGTCCCTCCTCCTTACTCTCACCTCCCGGACTCCAAAAACACTCTGATTGCCGGGGTGGGTCAATGGTTAACACTCCAGTGGCTTTATATAAGCCTGCCCAGCCGCCTACCTGCTACACCGTCCGTCCTGCAGTTCCCTGAATCCAGAGGGTGACCAGGCAGCCCTCGTGGGCCCGCACCATGGCCACCTGCTGGCAGGGCCTGTGGGCCTATCGCTTCTACCTGATTGTATTCTTCCTACCCATTTTCCTGCTGCCTCTGCCCATCCTCGTCCCAACGAAGGTAAGGACTCGGGATTCTGGGCACAGGGAAGCTCCAAGAGAGCAGGGGAGGGACCATCTGCCCTAGGGTGGGGCATCTTTAGGACCAGCAAAGCCCACTCATCCCCGTTAGCCTGGAGGTGAGGCTATCATCTCCTGGTCCTCCTGAGTCTTAGGGGTTAAGAGGTCAAAAGCGGCTTTTGCTGGGTATCCAGTAGTGGGAGCTCAATGTGAATTGCTTAGGTCCACTTGACATCTATTGCCTTACAAGGCAGAAAACCAGCTCCATAAAGGAGGTGCAGGTAGAAGCAGATGGGGTGGATCAGGAGAGTATGAGCTGGTCTAGCAGCTGGAGAGTAAAAGAAGAGGATTAGAAGAAAACGGGCCTCCAGCAGTGTTTGCATTTTTAAAAGTACAAACAGAAAGCGAAGGTCCTCACCCGTGACCCCAAGAGCTAAGTGTCCTGCGGAGGAGGAAATTAACTAATCCTACACGCTGATCCTGCCAGTGAGCGCTACAGATGCACACTTTGAATGGAGGGGGAAATGTTACCGCTTCCTGCCCACCCCACGCAAGCAGCCGGAGTCATAACTTGGGTTTCATTTATTGGAGCCCCCCAATGCATGCCCTGTACCACACACCCAGTAACCCTCTCCCCTGTCTTATGAAGCAGGTTCTGACTCCCATTTTACAGATGGGGGAAAGTGGTCATCCAAAATCCCAGGGCAGATCCTGTTATCTGGAGCTCAGATATTACACACTTTGGGGACCATCTAGTAAGAAAAAGAAGACAAAATTATGAATCTGAAACTAATACAGGACTTTGGGACGGGTAGAGTCGAGGAGGTGGCCTCAAAATCCAAGCTTCACAGGAAATCTGACTCTGGCAAGTCACATAGACAGTGGCAGAGCTGGGGGTGTGGCCTGGCTACAAGGCCTGTGCTGTCTGCCTCCGGAAGGCCGAGACTGATCCTGGCTCTGAACTTAGCCCCATCCCACACCCACTCCCCCGCCACCCGCCAGCTGCCCACTGAGCCAACTGGTCAGAGAGGGAAACTGAGGCAGGCTTTTTGTTCAAGGTATTCCAAAAGGATAAGGAACCAGGGAGGTAGTAGCACGGCTCCTGGTCAGTGACAAGGCCCCGCTGACCTTTGAGACCACCCTCATCTCAGGCCAAAGCCAGTGGCATCTCTATGCTAAGGACCCATTAGATTGGCTTCCAAACAGGCTGAGTTAACCAAGTGTATTAACCCCAGAAGGAAGGATGGACAGGAACCGTGATTCCCATGTTACTCCCCAGGAAAGTACAGCCCAAAAAGATTTGGTAACCTGACCACTGTCACGCAGAAAAGCCCGAGTCAGTACGAGAAGCCAGTCTTCCTGGTGGGGGTGGGATGTGTCAGGAGGCCCTGTCTTCCCTGGGCTGTACCCCACCCATCGCCGATCACCTATCACCTGCTTCCTGCCTACAGACGTTGCCTCCCCAGTCCTGACTCAGATGAACTGCCCCAGGTCCTAACTGTGAGGCCAGCCCCTCCAGTGGGGCCCTGGCTACCAGTCCCTCTCAAGGACTTTGCTCCTGTAATTATCCTCTCCTCTCCTGCATCATCAACTTTTCCTTCTTTTCCTGATCTCTCCCATCAGCATACAAACAAGCCTTAATACCAGTCTCATTAAAAAACAAAGTCTCCTTCAATCCTACAGTCCCCGAACACATGCCCACTTTCTCTGCTCTTTCTCACAACCAGAAGCCTCAGAGACTATCTACATGGCCGCTCTCTCCTCAGAAAGCTCTGCTCCCGAGACTCTACCTACCTAGAGGGCCCTCATCACGTCCCCATCAGCATCCCGGTCACAGGACCCTTGGTGCCCACTCACCTTCCTCAACTACTCAGCATCATCTGTTACAGCCGGTCCCCTCCTCTTCGCTGCACTGTCTTCTTTTGGCTTTTCCTGGGTTTCCTCTTCCCGTGACTATTTTCCTGCCCCCCTCTCTCTATCATCACTCCTGCCCTAGGCGATCTTCTGTTTTCTCCTGCCTTAAAAGCACCTCTACGCTGATAATTCCTCAATCGGTAACTCCAGCTCCTAATTCCAAACTTGCATTACCCAACTAACACAGGACACCTCCCCCGATGAATCCTTCCTTTTTACACAGAGTGCCTTTGGCATACTCAAAACACAATCCTGATCCCTCATCTCTCTCAGCTGACTCTCCTTTCGATCTTATGTATCAAAAGAAGGCTCAACCGTCCGCCTCAGAGCCATTCCTGGTGCCTCTCTTTCCTTCCCTTCCACAAGCACCATCAGGTCCTGTTGACTCAATTTCCCCAAAACACACTAAATGGAATCACTTTCCACTGCCTCCACTCTGGTCCAGGCCACCATCGTTTCTCTCCCATCCCTACCCGTCCCCAGACCATTCTTCTTTTTTTTTTTTAATTGAAGTATATTTGATTTGGGCTTCTCAGGTGGCTCAGTGGTAAAGAATCTGCCTGCCAAGCAGGAGACACAGGTCCAACCCTGGGACAGGAAGATCCCCTGGAGAAAGAAATGGCACCCCACTCCAGTATTCTTGCCTGGGAAATCCCATGGACAGAGGAGCCTGGCAAGCTAAAGCCCAGAGGGTCACAAAAGAGGTGGATATGACTTAGCAACTAAGCAACAACAATAGTTGATTTACAATATTGTGTTAATCTCTGCTGTACAACAAAGTGATTCAGTTGTACATATGTATTTTTTTCATATTCTTTTCCATTTTTACTTATCACAGGATATTGAATATAGTTGCCTATGCTATACAGTGGGACTTTGTTGTTTATCCATTCTCTATATAATAGTTTTTGCATTTGCTAATCCCAAACTCTCAATCCATTTCTCCCCCACCCCCACCACCCCCTTGGCAAACACAAGTCTGTTCTCTCTGAAATGACATATTCCTTTATTTCCTATATATTCTCTGAGCCCCTAATTTATTTTGTGTGTGTGTGTGTGTGTGAGATCCCCTACTTTAGAATGTAAGCTCCATGAAGGCAGGGACTTTGCCTTTTTCCATGCAGAATCCCCGGTACCTGGCACATAGTAGGTGCTCAGCAAATACTTGTCAAATCACTGAGTAAACAAATATGTGGGTAGAGATGGCCCTGTCCTCAATTCTTGCTGAGTCCCTGCTCTCTGCAGTGAATTCCAAGCTTACCTCCACATCTCTGGCCCCTAAAGTGGATAGGAGGAGGCCCAGAAAAAACTCAGCTCATACCTGTGTCCATATAATACTTGTTGATATTTCTTGAGTACTTTTTATGTGCTGGTCATTATGCCAAGCACTTCAAAGCACTAACCTACTTACTGCTCCCAATAATCTCTGAGTTACTATGAGGTTATTACTTCCATCTCCATTTTACAGACATGTAAATCCCAAGTGGTAAAGGAATTTACCTCAAGTGCCAGCTAGAAAAAGGCAAAGTCTGGACTGGAATCTGGCCTTGGCCGAGGCTGTCTAGGGATGCAGGGTGGTCCCCTGTTGAGTCACCTCTTGAGCTGTCTACCCTCATGTCTATCCAGCCATCAATCAATCCTTCCACTGTCATTCAGTCTATGCTGTCTGTGGAGTTCTTGCTCTGTGCTAGGGGTTACTGAAAAGGAATATAAATGTTCTGTCTTCAAGTTGCTTTCAGTCTAGAGGACCATGTGTTCCTGCAACACAGACTATAGCCAGAAGCCCATAGGAGCACAGAGAAGGGAGAAAATCCTTCCAACTGAGGTAAGGGAGAATCTGAGTTGGGACAGTGAGAAGCATTAGTGGAGGGCAGGCCAGGTGACGAGAATGCTAGGAGCAAAGGCGTGCCGGCTGGAAATAGTGTGTTTGAAGAATTAGCAACAGAATCCTAGAACTTCCCATCACCCACTGGCTGGGGGGTTCCTAGTGATTGGGGGACAGTGGGGTCTGAGGTCTTTTCAGTGCTCCCCCTTCCCCGCAGCCAGATACCTAAGAATGATGTGCCAGAAACCTTACCTCTATTCATTCACTCATCTGGAAAAGTATCACGTGACAGTTACTGTTTAAGTGCAGTGGGGTGGAAGGTAAGATCCAGGGAACTTGTGATCCTGGGGGAAGGGGTGGGGTGGAAAGACACACGAAAAGCACATACTTTTCATTGTCCACACAATGAAAAGCATAAAGCAGGCTGTGACTATGTCTTGGGGAGGAGCTACTGTAGACAGGGTGATCAGAGAAAGCCTGCTGGGGCGCTGACATTTACCTTAGGACCTGACTGGCAAGTAAGAGCCAGCCAAGCCCAGCTCTGGGCCAAGAGCTGTCTAGGTAGAACCCACAGTGCAAAGGCCCAAGGCCAGGGGCGAGCTTGGCAAGGAAATAAGGCCAGCACGGCATGGAGACCCGAGTGAGCAGATGACCTTAGAGAAGTGGGGAGAGATCAGCCAAGGTCAGCCCTGCAAGGTCCAGGGAAGGAGTGAGGATTATATGCTGAGGGTCAGGATGGATAAATACTTGCTCAGAGATCAAAAAGGCAGTAAGTTAGAGTGGTTGGTATTCAGTTCCTCAGTTGTGTCTAACACTTTGCGACCCCATGGACTGCAGCACGCCAGGATTCCCTGTCCTTCACTGGACATCTCCTGGAGTTTGCTCAGACTCATGTCCATTAAGTCAATGATGCCATCCAACCAAGTTAGAGTTGAAAATGCAAATATCTCCCAGGACCCAACAGAACCACTCGTGAAAACTGTCTCCCTGTGGTACTGTGTTTGCCAGGACAGAGCATAGTTGAAATCCAGACTGTATTTACAGTAAGAATAGAGGGCAGGATTTCTTGCTCTGCAGTTTTGTTTGTTTGCTTATTTTTGTTGTTGTTGTTGTTCTGGGCCACACTGCTCAGCATGTGGAACTTCCAGAACCAGGAATGGAGCCTGCACCCTCTGAAGTGAAAGCATGGAGTCTTAACCCCTGGACTACCAAGGAAGTCCTTTTTGGTTTTTTTTGTTTATTTGTTTTTAGGATTTCTTACT